ACACAGGTTTGAACTGCGTGGGTCCACTTATATGCTAATTTTCTTTTCAATAGATATTTTGGAAATTGTTTTGGGAGATTTGCAACAATTTGAAAAACTTGCAGATGAAATGTGTAGCCTAGAAATATTGAAACAATTAAGAAAAAAGTATGTCATGAATGCATAAAATATGTTTAGATACTAGTCTATTTTATCATTTACTACCATGAAATATACACAAATCTATTATAAAGAGTTAAAATTGATGAAAACTTACACACAAACACAGACTGTACATGGTGCAATTCACAGGTGAGAGAAATGTAAACAAACAGGGATGTAGTATTAAATCATAACTGCATAAAATTAATTGTATTAATACTGTACTAGTGTAATAATTTCATAGCACCCTCCTGTTGCTATTGCAGTGAGTTCAAGTATGAGTATCCACTATGTGTGCTAATCATCTCTGTGTGAGCAGTTCGTCTCTCCAGTAAATTGCATATTGCAGTAAAAAGTGATCTCTCATGGTTCTTCCATATTTTCCATTGTGTTTAGCACAATACCGTTAACCTTGAATAACACCATGGATCCCTTACAAAGTACCACTAGTGATGTTGGAAGTGCTCCCAAGAAACAGAGAAAAGTTATGGCATTACAAGAAACAGTTGAATTGCTTTATATGTACCATAGATTGAGGTCTGCAGCTATGGTTTCCCGCCATTTTGAGATAAATGAATACAGCATAAGGACCATTATTAAAAAAGAAAAGGAAATTTTTGAAGCCTTGCTGCAGCTACTCCAGGAGGTGCAAAAACTTTCCACCTTTTATTAAATATCTTTTTATCTCATAATGAAAATGCAGCTTTTATTTGGGTGCAGAATTGGCATAAGAAACGTATACCTATAGACTCTAATATGATTGATGAAAAAGTGAAGACATTATATGACAATTTAAAGCAAAAGAATGGTAAAGATTTTAAATCTGAAAAACTTAATGCCAGCAAAGGATGATTTGACAATTTTAGAAAGAGATTTGGCTTAAAAATGTCAAGATAACAGAAGAAGTAACTTCTGCCAACCAAGAGGCAGCAGGTGAGTTCTCAGATGCCATTAAGAAAATCATTGGAGAGACAGGATATCTGCCTGAACAGATTTTTAATGTAGACAAAAGATGCCACAAAGGACATTTATTAGTAAGGAAGAGAAGTGAACACCAAGATTTAAGGTAGGAAGGCATAGGCTAACTCTACTGTTTTGTGCAAACGCAGTTGGGTTTATTATCAGGACTGCCCTTATCTATAAAGCTAAAAATCCCCAAGCCTTGAAGGGAAAAGATAAAAACCAGTTTCTGTCTTTTGGTTGTAAATACAACAAAAAGGCCTGGACAACATGCACCCTTTTTCTGGATTGGTTCCATGGATGCTTTGTCCCGGAAATCAGGAAGTACCTTACCCCAAAGGGACTGCCTTTTAAAGTCTTCTTATTATTGGACGATGCCCCTGGTCACTTAGAACCCCATGAATTCAATACCGAAGGCATCAAAGTGGTCTACTTAACCCAAACACAATGTCTCTAATTCAGCCTCTAGATCAGGGGCTCATGGGACCTTTGAAGCATGGTACTATATGGAAAAAATGTCAGTGCTATGGAAGAGAACTTCGATAGAGAGAACATCATGAAAGTCTGAAAGGGTTATGCCACTGAAGATGCCACTGTTATAGAAAAAGCCGTGAAAGCCACGAGGCCCCAAACAATAAATTCCCGCTGGAGAAAACTATGTCAGGACGTGGTGCTGGACTTCACAGGATTTACAGCAGAGCCGATCAGGGAAATCATGAACGAGATTGAGGATATGGCAAAACGAGTGGTGGAGGTGAAGGGTTTTAAGATACGATCTTGGAGAAATTAAGAGCTAATAGACACCACGCTGGAAGAATTAACTGAAGACAACTTGATGGAGATGAGTGCTTTGGAAACAGTGCCACTGAGGAAGAAGCGGTGCAGAGAACAAATCGACATTAGACAATCTGGAATAAGAATACTGATTATTCGAGACTGCTTTTTACTTCTTTTATGACATGGACCCTTCTGTGATACAGACACTAAAACTGGAGGAAACAGTGGAAGAAGGGTTGGCACTGTACAGAAACATTTTTAGAGAAATGAAAAAGCCAGAGAGTCAGATAGAAATGACGATGTATTTCCACGAAGTTACACCGAGTGCGCCTGCCTCGCCTGCTCCCTCCTCCCCCTCCTCCACCTCTTCTGCCTCTGCCACCCCTGAGACGGCAAGACCTGCCCCTCCTCTGCCTCCTCCTCCTCGGCCTACTCAGTGTGAAGACAATGAGGATGAAGCCCTTTATGATGATCCACTTCCACTTAATGAATAGTAATTCTATTTTCTCTTCCTTACGATTTTCTTAATAACACTTTCCTTTCTCTAGCTTACTTTACTATAAGAATACAGTACATAATACATGTACCAAATACATATACCAAATATGTGTTGACCGTTTGTTATCAGTAAGGCTTCTGGTCAACAGTAGGCTATAAGTCATTATGTTTTTGGGGAGTCAAAAGTTACATGTAGATTTTCAACTGCATGGGAGTTGGTGCACCTAACCCCTACCCGCTCCTGTTCAAGGGTCAATTATAAATCTATGCTATATGGCAGAGGCACTATTCTATTCCTAGCATATAGTAAATACATGTTGACCTTATAATGAATAATTAATCTTTCTTATTACATGACTATCTCACACTTTTCTTTGAGCTGACCTCTAATTATTCTAGCCCTACTGACAAATTGCCTCTAGTCTAGATCACATCTGTTTCAGTTGAGTTTGTCGGATAGGTCAGCCATTCTTACAATAAAACTATTGACCTTTTTGTCATACATTCCAATTTCAGCAACTGCAACTCTACTTTAAAATATAAAGGAAAGGAAATTATTTTATAAATTCCTGTTTCCAAGCAAAGCAATCTGAATTATGTCAGTGAAATCTAGCATCCTAGTAGATCTGTGGATACACAACAGTTAAGAAAATAAGAACCTTCTAGATCAGATCTTTACTAGGGGTTATTTGCAGTAAATGATGCTCAAGGCATCAGAAAGCATCCCATAAACCAGATTGCGGCTCTAGTGGCAACATTGGCATTGTTAGGTTTTTTTTTTTTCCCATCAAACCCTGTTTTTCTCCTTTTCAATTCTCCTTCTTCTTCCCAAGGTAACATGTGCCTTTGATGTGAATGAGGTCCAAAGCCTTTCTGGTACTTCGTACCCTGATGTGGGATGCTTTGTACATCAAAGTTCTCTGGGCAGAAGGTGTAGTCGACAGAAATGCCTTAATGTTGAACTTCTGTAATATTCAGACTTTGGTTGGCTTCTTTGGTCTCTCACCTTCAGTATTCAATATTTAAATCCTAATACGTGGTTGTAGGAACATGAAGAATGAAGTTATTATTATTTTTAAAAAAGACTTATGTGCACTGAATATAGGACAAAGTTTTACTGAGAGTTTATATACACACTAAGGACAGATTAGAACATTCCACCCATCCCAAAGGGAAGCATCCCACATTGCATTGGTTGGTGCAAGTGTACCATAAAATAAACCCAGAGAATATTCTTAATTCAGGGCTCTTGTCACAGGGAGGTCTGGCCCTGTGTTTGTGAATCCTGCAAACTGTACCTTAACCTGACCGGTCTGTGTCTGCAGCCCCTTGAGAACAGACATTTCTGTGCCTAATCATGAAGGCCTCTTTCACAGGAAGAGTTTCTTCCTTCTTATGCAGGGTCTGGCCTGAAGGTAGAGTCCCCATTTGGGCAGAGCCATGACATCGTCACCACATTAAGACCACTGAAGAGACCTATTGGTTGACCTCTGCCATGTTTTATTCATTTTAATAAGTGCTATAATTTAGCCACTTCCATTTTATGACTTTTAACTAAGTGTTGTCTTTATTTAGTGACGCTATTTTGTCACTAGGATAGGAGCTCTCATGGGACTTTAGGTGAGTGATTTAACCACTTGGGCCTTGATTTTCCTTTCTGCAAATTGAGAATAATCGGCCAATACAATCTCCTTGGTCTATTTCAGCACTAGGTTTTATGAGCACAAATTAAGTAGATAAATTAGACATGTTTACTTTTTTCCCCCTTCCCTTTTCTTTAATTAACCTTATAAAAATTTGGGGAAAATAGAGGAGGATGTTAATTTCTTCCTATTTGACTCCTAAGTGATTCCTGTGCTCAAATAGGGTTAGAAAACTCACCTACACAAGGGAGACTGTTAGTTTCCCCTGGCCAGGCTACAAGCCAGCTTGTTAAGCTATCAGCCTGCTCCTTTTCCTATTTTAGAAACTAGTATTAATTTCCTGGGTGCTTTCTCCTGGAAATCTGCACAGAACCTTATGCTGTGCATTGCACAAGATAGGCAGAGTGATTTTTCAAAAAGTAAAAATGTTTTTGTCATTCTCACATCTCCCATGCTTCCCATATTTCTCTTGCTTAATTGCTACAGCCACGCTTTCTTTCTTACAGTTTCTGGAAAGCACTAAACTCTTTAATGCCTCAGGGGCTTTGCAACACCCTTCCCTCTGCCTGAGTTTTTCTCTCCTGTGTTTCCTCCCCAATTCCCTCTCTCCTCTCTTCACTTTACATAGCTGGCTCCTTCTCATTTTTCAGATCTCAATTGAAATGTCATTTTTTGAACAAGACCATCATGACCACCCTATTAAAAGCAGATTGTTCCTATAAAGCCCTATCATAGAGCCTTGTGCATTGCCAACATAGCTTTAATTGTAATTTGTTAATTTTAATTTTTTGTTTGTTTTCTTATTTTTCATCTGCATCTCCCATGAAACTGTAAGCTCTGTGAGGAAAGAGACCATGTTTTATTTTTTTGCCTGAGCACATCCAGTGTCTAGAACATAATTCCTGCTCAATAAATATTTGTTTGGATGGAAGAGTAATGCCTCTTTAACAATATTATCTGTACTTTCTGTTGATTTCTTAGATTTCCTGTGATTCATCAGCTAGAGAAATGAAATCCATTACTAGAATGAAAAGAATATTTTATAAGGTAAGAATTTAAACTCCTTATTTTTGAATACTTTGTTTTTTAAAATATGAAAAATTTCTGCTATTATATCTGTACTTTTTCTGCAGATTGGAAATAAAGGAATCTACAAAGCCATCAGTGAACTGGATATTCTTCTTTCCTGGATTAAAAAATTCTTGGAAAGCATTCAGTAAATTAAGAAGTCAAGTACATTGATTTGATAGTTATTTTGAAATATAATGAAAACAATTAGAAATGAGTTTATAATAATCAATTTCTTTTAAAAAATTTTGTACATCATACCCACAGCAAATTATTAATAGATGATTCAGAATAGATGAGAATGATTTAATGTAATAAAGCTTTGGAGATATGTTAATTGTCACTAATTTGTACATTTTCTGTATTTTTGGAGAATGTTTCCATCCTGAGCATGTTTTGTTATTCTCAAGTATGTTGTATAGATTTAATTTAAAGGTGTTAATATATAACCTGAATTAACTCATGTAATACTTGTAGAGAAAAATGACAGATTTTTAAAATACAATATAATGTTTTTGAGACTTAAATACATGTTATGTGTATGATTATTGTCCACTTAAGGGTTTGACAATTATTAAGTCCAGTGTGAACTTAGCTTTTAACAGATTTTGATCTTAATTAAACAAACTGTTTCTTTCTCCTGGATGTTCTTTTCACGTCAACATGCTAGAATTTCACTGAGTGCAAGGGGTAGCAACCAGATCAGATCAGACAGGATACACAAATCAACTAACTGCTTGAAATGATTTATCAGGAACACCTTCAACAGATAACCCAAGACACAAGGACCACAAGTAACCATGTTGAAATGATGCTGAAGACTGGTAACATTCCTTCTGGGTGTTGTACGATTAGGAAAGTTGAGAGAAGCCAAATAAAAGTCTAAATGCGGCTCAAAGTCCACCACAGTCAACTTTTGAAATGTCCGAAAACCTCATTTGCAGTTAGCCTTTTGATTAAATGAGTAATATGGCTTAACCATGGTTTTGTGTTAAAGGGACTCTGCTTCACTGTTAGTGGCACACAGCCCAGAAGACATGAGAAGTGTCTGATGTCATGTCCTCAGTAGCCAGTCAGTTCACTTCCACAAGGTAGTCATTATGTCCCTGCTATGCATGGACAGCACTGTGATTCGGTGCCCTGTGGTAGGAATAGGAAGGGCTTCCCCAAGGTCTTCACAGATTGTCCTCGGCGGCTCCTTTCTTCAGTGCTTTCCCACCACCTAGTTTTTCTTTCCAGTCACATTGTGGTCAGGCTGTTCACTAGGAGCTATCCTCTTCTGATCAAGCTCACATTTCAAAGTTGGCATACCATGCTCATAGGTTGGCAGAATCAACATTGTTCAAATGTCTATAGTACCCAAAGTGATCTACAGATTCAGTGCAATCCCTATGAAAATACCAACATCATTTTTTGCAGATCTAGAAAAAATAAGGAACCAGAGAAGACCCTGTATAGCCAAAGCAATCTTAAGCAAAAAGAACAAATTGGGAAGCATCAATTTACCACACTTCAAGATATACTACAAGGCTATCCTATCTAAAACAGCATGGAACTGGCACAAGAACAGAGATATAGACCAATGGAACAGAACTGAGAACCCAGATATAAAACCATCCTCATATAGCCAACTAATCTTTGACAAAGCAGACAAAAACATACACTGGGGAAAAGAATCCTCATTCAATAAATGGTGCTGGGAAAATTGGATAGCCACATGTAGAAGACTGAAAGAGGATCTACACCTTTCACCTCTCACAAAAATCATCTCATGGTGGATAACAGACTTGAATCTAAGGCATGAAACTATAAGAATTCTAGAAGAAAATGTTGGGAAAACTCTTGTAGACATTGGCCTAGACAAATAATTTATGAAGAAGACCTCGAAGGCAATCCCAGCAACAACAAAAATAAATAAATGGGACCTGATCAAATTAAAAAGCTTCTGTACAGCCAGGAAACTATCACGAGAGCAAACAGACAACCTACAGAATGGGAGAAAATATTCACATGCTAGACATCCGATAAAGGGCCGATAACTAGAATCTATATAGAACTTGGTAAAATCAGCAAGAATAAATCAAATAAACCCATTAAAAAGTGGGCAAAGGACATGAACAGAAACTTTTCAAAAAAAGACAGACTAATGGCCAACAAACATGAAAAAATGCTCAACATCTCTATCATCAGGGAAATGCAAATCAAAACCACATTGAGATATCACTTAACTCCAGTGAGAATGGCTTTTATCTAAAAGTCCCGAAACAATAAATGTTCACATGGATGCGCAGAGATAGGAACACTCATACGCTGCTGATGGGACTGCAAACTAGTACAACCTCTATGGAAGGTAATATGGAGATAACTCAAAGAGCTACAAGTAGAACTACTATTTGACCCAGCAATCCCATTACTGGGCATCTACCCAAAGGAACAAAAGACATTCTATAAAAAAGACATCTGCACTCGAATGTTTATAGCAGCACAATTCATAATTGCAAAGATGTGGAAACAACCCAAGTGCCCATCAATATATGAATGGATTAATAAAATGTGGTATATGTATGCCATGGAGTTCTGCTCAGCCACAAAACACAATGATGATATAACACCTCTTGTATTATCCTAGGTAGAACTGGAACCTATTCTACTAAGTGAAGTATCACAAGAATGGAAAAACAAGCACTGCATGTACTCACCATCAAATTGGTATTAAATTGCAGGGAGAGGGCTATGCTCCCAGCAAAAAATTGGGTCCCTTTGGTAGGGTTGCAAAGGATAAGAAAATAATAGAAAATGGAAAATAATGGAAATAAAAGAATACACAGAGACGAAGGTATAGTTTTATAGATTTATAAAGATTATAGGCAAAGCGAGTGCTCAGGGGGCCTGGGTTTCTCCGTCAATCTCAGAGGCCATGAGTGAAGTTTTACATGGTCATTTATAGGTACAGTGAACAGTTGCCAGGGGTAACAGATTTACATAACAACAGGTAGTTCCTCTTAGGTTAACAGTTTTTCAAAAGGCTTCTTCAGATCCCTTAACTAACTCTTTCTATGTGAACAAATGGTTACAAAATCTTTCAAAGACTAACTTCTAAGTTCTAAGGTAAATTTATCACTTAACAGAGGGGTTAAACAGAGATATATTGGCTCCATATTTTCTTTATCAGGTTACTGTGAATGGAGACAGGTAGTCTGGAGTTTTAAGCAGAAACTGTCCCTTGGGCCAATTGCTTTTAGCCACAGGTGGCTGTCTGTTTGGGTGGGCAATCTTTGATCAGCTCTCATCCTGTAGTTTTTAGCAGACCTGCCTTGCTTTACAAAGTAAGTCCAAACCTTTAGGTCTGAGAATCGCGGTGCCATTGTGGGATTCAGCCGCTACTGTCTTTCAGAGATGCCCTCCTGAGGTGAAACAGCTTTCGATATGCAAACTAACACGTTCACATATTCCTTCAGGGCAAAGCTCTGCAAAACTCCTGAGATGTTTCCTGTTTCAAATATATTTATATTAATTCGTGGAACAACATTAAATGGTCAACACTTAAGTGCACATTTAGTGGTAACATTCATTGAGTGTTGGGCAGGTGGGAGGAGGTTGGAGGGAATGGGTATATTCACACCTAATGGTGTGGTGTGCACTGTCTGGGGGATGGACACGCCTGAAGCTCTGACTGGGGTGGGGCAAAGGCAATATATGTAACCTAAACATTTGTACCCCCATAATATACTGAAATAAAAAAAACCAATAAAAAACAAAATTGGCTCTTTCTGCCTTTCCCTTCAATACACTGTTGTCCCATGGCTTGTCTCTATTGGGGACCACATTCCTAGACAAGCGCACAGGACAGGAAAGGTGTGGTGAGCAGCAGGGCACTGGTGAGGGGAGATTGGAGAACTCTTTTCATCTTGTGCTGTAAACCCAGGGCTTCTTGAGCAGCCTTCTTTCCTGAGGAGCATCTGGAAGAGCTGGAACCTGGAGGATTAGGGACCTGCTCCCTGGCTTTGCCATACACCAGAGGGAAGATGGTACACCCAAAGCTCTTCCTTGCCCCACTTTTAGGGCACTCAGTGTTTTCCAGGAGCAGGTACCCCTCACTGCTGAGTCTGACTGTGCTGGACCTCCATAGAGCCCAGCGTCCCCAGTCCTGGTCACCACCCATTGCTTAGGGTCCCTAGACATCAGAAGGGCTGGGAAGCATTCATTTGCCAGTCAGCAAAGAAATATTTATCACGTGGGCTTTAGGTCCTTAGGGATAAAATTTCATCTGCCTGTCCAATATTTTTCAGTGATTGAATTCAGTGTTTTTGTTTGTTTCTCAAATACTTTG